CAACGACCTCAAACTCGATCCTAAATATTCGAGGTAAGTCACATACATTACAATTGCGTGGCCGGGGAAATTATCATTTTAGATCCCAATCGGGTTTTCGCGGTAATTTCAGCCAGAATAGAGGTAACAATAATTCTTATGCTAACAGGAATCGTACATTTCAGTACAATAATTTCGCATTTCGTGGAAGACAATCTCGTGGTTTTCGCACGCGACCAAATCGCGGTCGAGTTGTTTACAATAGTAGAGGCCAACAACAAATAAACGTTGCAAAAACGGATACAACTAAATCTGAGGGTACGGAAGGTTCGACTGATAATCAGGAAAATAATAATAATCAGTTTTTTCGATCCCAACAGTCCTAATATTTTAACATGTGACGTAAGCAGTGCTAATTATGTAACATTATATTTAAACGAGAACAGGTGTTCGTGGCTTTTAGATACGGGTGCGACCTTATCAGCCGTGAGTAGCTCTGTATTAGGAGATCAATTACATGTTTATGAAGATAGGATTACTATAAACGGGATAGGCGGAAAGTGTTCTTCAAAAGGTTATGTTTATCTTACTTTAAGAACTGTTGACAATTTTACTTTCCAACATAAGTTTTATGTATTTGAAAAATTACCTTGTAAGTCAGAAGGTATTTTGGGACAAGATTTCTTAGATCAATTTAGTTCAATTACTTTTGACTTAGAAAAATCTTTATTAAAACTCACTGTTGGTGACAAAAAAATATTTTTGCCGTTATATAGAATACCTCAAATAAGTAATTCATCGTTACATATACCAGCTCGTTGCGAATCTATTCATTATATAAAATTAGATTCAGATATAACACAAGACTGTGTTATACTACCAAAACAATTACATACAGATGTATTATTGGCAAGCTTAATAGTTAGACCTCAAAATAAAATTATTCCTATTCGAATACTTAATTCTAGCGATAAAAATATTACTTTACCTATTTTTAAACCAGAGTTAGATTTGCTAAGCAACTATGAAATTTGCGCATTTGAGAAATGTGAGTCCGGTTCCCAGCGCGCTAAGTTATTGTTATCGTTATTGAAATTGGATCATTTAGATTCTACGGAAAGACAAACAATAGAATCCATTTGTGTAAAGTACGCCGATGTATTCCAATTACCATGGGAAAAATTAACTACTACACCGATATGTGAACAGTCTATCGCCTTGAAACCTGATTCTAAACCTATTTATACTAAACCTTATCGTATACCTTTTAGTCAGAAAACTGAAGTTGAAAAGCAAATCAAAAAAATGTTACAAGATGATATTATTGAAAAATCGCAAAGTGAATGGTCTAGTCCTATTCTTTTAGTTCCCAAAAAGACAGATGGTGAGAACAAAAGTTGGAGGTTGGTTGTGGATTATCGTAAGCTAAATTCAACTATACAGGACGATAAGTTTCCACTTCCAAATATTACCGAAATATTGGACTCGCTATCAGGTGCTGTTTACTACACACATTTAGATTTATCTCAAAGTTATTATCAGGTGCGACTAACGTCAAAAGATGATAGTCGTAAAATTACAGCATTTACGACTAATACTGGCCAATACCAAATGAAAAGACTACCTATGGGTTTGAAAATAAGCCCTAGTGCTTTTTCACGGGTCATGACTGTTGCAATGTCCGGCCTTACGTTTGATAAATGTATTATTTATTGCGATGACCTTGTTGTTTTTGGACGTAATATATCACAACATAATAAAAACTTAATTGATGTCCTTGAGAGGTTAAGATTAGTCAATTTGAAATTAAACCCCAACAAGTGTCAATTTTTAAAAACGGAAATGTTATATCTCGGTCATACGATATCTAAGGATGGTGTTTTGCCAGATCCTGATAAAATTAGAGTAATTAAAAATTATCCTTTGCCAAAAAATTCTGACGAAGTTAGGCGATTTGTAGCATTTAGTAATTACTATAGAAAGTTCATTAAAAATTTTGCGGAGATAACAGAGCCACTAAATAAACTTTGTCGGAAGAATGTACCCTTTGTATGGACTGAAAATTGTGATCAGTCATTTCAATTTCTAAAACAAGCTTTATCATCGCCGCCTATACTTCAATATCCAGACTTTTCACCTAACAGCGAATTTATTTTGCAAACTGACGCCTCAGGTATTGCGATAAGTGCAATTCTTTGTAATAAAGATTTGCGCCCAGTAGCTTACGCAAGTCGACCATTAAATAAATCGGAACGTAATTACCCTACTATCCAAAAGGAACTTCTAGCTATCGTTTGGGGTGTAAAATACTTTCGCCCATATTTGTTTGGAAAATCATTTACGATAATGACAGACCACAAACCGTTAGTATATTTATTTGGAATTAAAGATCCTAGTAGTAGACTTTTAAAATTTCGATTGGCTCTTGATGAATACGATTACAAGATAGTTTATGTGCAAGGTAAAAATAATCCTGCAGCGGACGCGTTATCTCGAATAGTAATTACGTCAGAGGATTTGAAAGCGATGAATGAACAAATTATGACTGTTATGACGCGAGCACAAAAGAGGAGAATGGAAGAAAGTGATAGGATTGATATTGGATCCCCCAATGTATGCACAGACGAGCGGCCTGCGCACCCGCAAGTCGTGGAGATATTGAGGATTCCAAATAACTCTGTGGAAATGTTATTAATAGAAGGAGAAAAGTTAAGAAAAATGAGAGATAAACGACTAATTGATGTTGAATGGAAATGTTTTGCATTTAATTCAAAATGTAAGAAAATATACATAAACCTCGATTACAAAAACAATTTCACGCGAGACGTATTTGTGCTGTATTTGAGTGATTTTTGTAAGGATATAAACGTCGACGAAATATGTATTATTAAAAATGAAATTAATGAAATGTTTATAAAAGACGTCATAAATGAAGTTAAAAATAATGAAAATTACCTAGGCCCTAGGATATGCATTTTAAGAGGTGTTACGAGAATTGATAAGAATGAAGATAAGGAGTTTATTTTAAACGATTTTCATCTACTGCCCACTAGCGGTCACGCAGGGGTACGTAGAATGATAAACAATATAAAAAAATGCTTTTACTGGCCAGGACTAGAGAAAGATGTCCAAAACTATGTTCGAAAATGCCAGAGCTGTCAAAAAATGAAGCACTCAAGGCATACAGTTGAGCCATTGGAAATTACAACTACGGCCACAACTGCCTTTGAAAGAATTTTCTTAGACATAGTTGGTCCTTTAGATAGAGACTTAGACGGGAATGGTTACATTCTCACATTACAGTGCGATTTAAGTAAATTCGTAGAGGCTTATCCTTTACCTAATAAAGAAACTATTACTGTAGCTAAGGCCCTAGTTAATAATTTTATTTTAAGGTTCGGTATACCAAAATGCATTGTCACTGATAGAGGTCAAGAATTTTTATCGTCAACTATGGCAGATGTTTGTAAATTACTCGAAATCGAAAAATTACATAGCACTTCATACCATCATCAAACTTTAGGCTCGATTGAAAATACGCATAAACATTTAGGAGCTTTTCTTCGCATTCAGTGTGATAAGCACCCGGAGGCATGGAGCTACTGGCTCCCCTACTGGTGTTTTTCGTACAATAATACTGTCCATATATCCACTAAATATGCGCCGTATGAATTAGTATTTGGAAAACATTGTGTAATTCCTAGTAGACTAAGTAATAGAGTTGAACCATTGTATAACATAGATAATTACTGTTTAGAATTAAGGTATAGATTACAAGTTGCGCAAAAAGACGCTCGTGAAAATTTGTTATCAGTGAAACAAAACAGAAAAAGTGTGTACGACCAAAAAGTGAACTCAGTGAAATATAATCCATCCGATTTATTATTAGTGAAAAGTGAAACCGGGACTAAGTTACAAGTACTGTATGATGGACCTTATTTAGTATTAGAGGATATTGGACCAAATGTTGTTATATTGAAAAACAATAAACGAGAAATTATTCATAAGAATAGAACTAAGCCGTTTGTAACTAATATTAAGTAGTGTATAGAATTTCTGCGCGCAGTACATTCTTTTCAGTAGATTGTTAGTTTTATTATTAAACTACATGGTTTTGTTTATTCTATATAGTTATAAAAAAAAAAACATTTTGTTTACCAAAAAATTTTTTTTTTCAAATCAACCCCTGTAATGTGGTGTGAGTATATGCATGTTAGTGTGTAAGTATGTGTAAGATTATAGTAAGCATCATTATTGTGGAAAGTACTCAGTAATAAATGGATCGTGACGCTAAACAGTAGTTTGTCATTTGACACCCCTTAGTCCCGAGATACTACACCACCAAAGCTTTGTTTTCGTCCGCCTCGTGAGTGAAGTTACCGGAGGACCAGTCCTGTTCCTCTTCTCCAATCCCCAAATCGCTTATCCGTAAATCCCTAATAATCCACAAAAGACCGGCAAAGCACTTGTTACTAATTTGGTATTGCAAATGATTGCTTATTATCAGGTAATCCGTGTCCTCTTTTGTAGATCCATACCAAAAAAACTCCTTGTTCAATCCCTCCCTACCCCATCGTTGTCCAATCCCTAAATCCTCTCATCTCTACATATATACATCGTCTCTGGTATTGCGGGTGCGCCGGTGTTTCCGATTGCTTACCATCAGTTAATAAAAAATATTAATCCGTCTGCTCGTTTGCTGATCTAAACCATGAAAAATATTAGCTTATTAAAAAGTTCGTAGGTATGTTTGGTTCAGTTTGTTGTCAGTTCGACCAATTTAAAAATGACTAATTTTTTATTTACAAATGAATGCCTACTTTTATCTCCACCAATAAATAAATAACATTATTTACTTATAGTAGGTACTGTCCGTCTGAAAGCGGTGTTAACTGTTCGTTCCAAAATTTAAATTCAAATTGAAAAGAACGAGCAAAATATAAAACCGTCATCCAATTAAAAAGAAAAAAAATACAATATCTATAAAAATGCTTAGTAGGGTTGAAATTAAACAATTTGAAAACATATTTGTCCTTTTTTATTAATATTATTTACAAATCTAATCACATCCTTTTGTTCATCTAAATTATACAATTAGTATGATAGAAGTGCTAAAATAAAACTATCAATCACATCTGAGCAATGTATCTCACACTATATCAATTTTTATGAGGGTAGTACAAGATTTAGGCCATTGTTTATCAAAGAAGACATTTTTTTAACCGACTTCAAAAAAGGAGGAGGTTCTCAATTCGACGAGTATTTTTTTTTTTTATGTATGTACACCGATTACTCGAAGACGCCTGGACCGATTTGCAAAATTTTTTTAAAGGATTTAAGGTCGCGTAAAGAATTTTTTTTTTCTGTAATGATATTGTAACAGTCAAGTTTTTTTAACATTCTGTGTGACAAACAATAGAAAGGTCAGGAATGAGATCATTTAAGTGTGATTTTCCAGGAAAATATTTTTTTAATATTGAAATTAGGTCATAATCTAAAAGTTCTATTAAAAAACATACTTAAAGAAAAATTGTGATAACTTTTTTTTTACATTTAATTACAAAACAATGTTAACTGATATGGCAAAGCCAGTCCGAATTTTTTTTTTACAATATTTTTTTTTTATTACATTTTATCAAAATGTCCCTAATTATTTCTGGTTTATTATAAAGATTATTTCAGAATCACTTTTCGTTACTACTTCATAATATGTATACTACAGAGAAAAGTCTTTATCGTCAATTCAAATCAATAACGTTTTTTTCAAACTCGACTAAAAATTACTCGATTTTTTTTACATTTTTCGTTTGAATTTTCTCAAACTCTGTACAAAATGACTATTGAACGTTAGTGTACACATATATTTACACTAGATACAATTTACATGCCGAACAGGTAACTAAGCTATTACTAATTACTTCATAAAACATTTGAAGGCACATTTTTGTTTATAGAATGACCTAATTTATTTTATTCTGTCTTTTTTTCTGAAGCTAATGATCTATAGAACTCCACGACGGTAATTTTTTTACGCGTTAGCACAGTAATTACTCAATATTTACAAACAATTGTCGAATATGAAGTTTTTAGTTTTAATATTGCACTTATTTTTTTTTGTGTCGAACGCGTAAAAGAATCTTCATCTTAATTGCCAGCCAACGAGAGTGCAACCATTCTATAGTAATATGATTGTAATTCACTTCGTTGGGTAGTTATAAATATTTACATGGAATGACAAGAAGGTATGAGGTCTTCTTTTTTTGGTTAAAATCACAACAAGTACGATACTGAAAATATAATTACTTTTTTTTATTATTATTAATATTTTATTATCTACAGTCCGCTCCGTCACTTCAACTATCTGAATATACAGAAACACTACAGTCAATGTACGCGATATTGGTATCACTCGCTCACTTTTTTGGAACACGAATCGTTTGAATTTAACGGTTATTTTAAAATTTTAAAAATCGAACACTTAATTGCGCAAATTATTAGAAAATGGAATGTAAATTTGGAAAGAAATCTTTTAACATGGTTTGTCACTTTTAACTGAGGATCAAATAATTTGAGTGTTAAAGTAAGCGTAAGAAACCGTTGCGTGTTGTCGGTGTAGTGGCGAGGGCGGCGCCCGAGGCGCTCAGTAGCGCGGCGCCACCCGCGGCGAGCGGAGCGGGGAGCGGCGCGCCACCTCGGGCTATGGCTTCAGTCTCTTGAACCCTGCCCCATCGTGCCCTAACTTCAGTTCCTCATAAAGCGTCGGGTCCACTTCCCGAGCATTCGGGATCGTTGTTCCAGGGTTATTTAGGGTTTCTTGTCTCCAGGCTGCTGAATTTGATACTCCGTTGGCCATTGGTGCCACACCGTTGGTGCCATTTGAGCCGTTAGCAGTGCCATTTGGCACGGTGCCCTGTGGACAAGCATTTTATTTAGTAGTATTCTTACTTTAGGAAAAAATTGAATATATATTGAAAATATAAATTTGTTCTTACGTTGACGGCTGTATCAGGATTTGGTTCCCTGAGGTAACTTGGGTTTTCAAATGCTACACCTCCTTGTGCTTTAAGTCTAAGATTCTGGAAGAAGACATTTTGATTAGTAAAGGAAATGTCGAAAAAGTACAGTTACATTCATTTTGTATTTGTAGTCTGTCCTTACCTTCCTATATCTATAGTAGAAGCCTGCAGCTAGCAGTATGGCTGCGACGAGCAGGCAGGCGACGGCGACGCCAACAGCCGGTGCGGCGCCACCACTGTTGACTGGCGCGGCCGCGGCGCCAGGCTCCTGGCCCGCCGTCGTGAACATTATTGGCGCGCTCAGCGAAGATGTACCTAATAAAGAGAGAGAATTATGAAGAAAGTGCATACGTAACCGTAAAACATTATTTACATTTCAAAATACTCGTTTTGAGGATATGGGAGGACTATACTAGGATGTCCAAAAGGAAACGAACTTAGAACATTGCAGTTTAGCATACTATATACACTTCAGGCAAACCTAAGTCTCACACCACAGTTCGAATAGGTTTAATTCGAGCAAAAATCTTTGCACTTCAACAGTCTTATGACTTGGTCTTTTGGTCTACTCACCAACATCATTCGCTGCTTTAACGACACACTCGTACTTGACGTCGTCCTGAAGACCAGTCAGCACAACGCTGGTCTCGCTGGTGTCCAACTTCTCCGGTACCTTCGCACCGTACGCTCGCCAGAACACGCGGTAAAGATAAACTGTCTGAGGATTCTTTAGTGGAGGCTCCCAACTGTTTACAAGAGTTTGCGGTTAGAGAAATAATCGTCTTCTTAGTGATTTCGTTTCAAGAGTAGTCCATTTTACCAGATGTTATAGTGAACGAATGTGTAAGTCTACGTTTCCATTACGTTGGAGTTTCTTGCTCGTTCTTATCCATCGGAATCCAAAGTTTGGGACGAGCAAATAGCTTTACTAAACCTTTTACTAACGTTCAAAAGTGCCTGTAAGGGTCTAATTGAAATAAATGATTTTGAATTAGTCTTTGACATTTAGGTATGACACGACCAAAACGAGAAGTCACACACCGAAATCACGGCTTGACGAGATTTGTAAAAGGATGTCATAGAGGAAACTGACTTTGAGTTTAAGACGTTCTAATTCATTGGGTTTCTTGGTCTTCGATACCGTATCTATATTCCTTATTGTCTTTATATTAAACGAGAGTGAACCAAAACATTTATCGCAATAAGGGCAATTTTGGATTTACACATTACCTGAGCAGTACAGAATTGGGCGTGGGTGCATGATGAGCTCGTACGTTTCTGGGTGGTCCAGGTAGGCGCGGGCCAGCGTCCCTGAAGCACGCCAGAGCACGGCGCGCGTGGTGCATGGCACAGGACCGGGATACCGCGCCACCACGGCACAGCTCCAGACACTGGCGGGGCACGCCCCATGATGCACAGCAACTGCGGTGGTCTGGTGACAAAGATTATGAGTTGATAACGAGAACAAATTGAGAAGCACCATTACATGTAAACATATTTATACTAGAATGGCTAGACTAGTTAAGTCAATCTAGTATCTTACTGTACTATAACAGGACCATGTTGATGCTTTTCAAGCTTTTCTAAATCATAGAGAAGAAATTGTAGATAGCGTATTGCAGAAAGTATGTATATATGTAGATACAAAACAAAGAAGGTGAGAGAATAGTGGCATTCTTAATGTGATCCACAGTTGTTGATCCGGGTCTAGTTGTAATGTGTTTTTCTATGAGATAGGACGGCAAACCCAGTGGACAGATTACCTGATGGTAAGCAATCGGCGCCGCTTATGGACACCCGTAACAACATAGGAGTTATGAGTGCCGAATTTTTGGAGATAAGGGATTTGGAGATTTAAGGATTTAGGAGGGATTGGGGGAGGGGAAGGATAGTACGTGAATTTGTATATGTCTTATGTACTTTTCCTGGGTCATCGGTGATCTAGATGAAGGGCTACGTTTGAAAAAAAGAAAACCCATTAAGCATTGCTTACCAGATCCATCGGCAGCGCACTTCATGAGTTTGTCGAAGTCGTTCATGCACTCTGGACGGTCCATGATGTTGTCCATCTCCAGGTGGAAGCTGCACGCGTCTATGCAGGAAGATGACACGTTCATCTAAACAGAGAAATATACTTGTACTCAGATTATCACTAGTTGTTTTCTTCGATTGCTTCCTCAGTAGTGTTTTCCTTATAGCATCTTCCATTCACTGTAAATACCATTATTCAAACCAAAAAATGCTTATTATAAAGATTTATTTCCTTCGTGTAGTTCTACTATATGAATGAAATTTTGTTACAACTGATTTTTTTACGAACAACATTACATCTAATTAAAATGGAAGAATAAGAAATCACGAAATAAAATATCGTATATGTTTGTATGGTATCATATAATATCAAAAACAAAAACAAACTGAAAAATAATAATCAGAGTGTTCTTAGTGCAAAATTCCATCCAAAACCTAAATTTGTTTTCCCACCACCTTCCCCTAATATTGTTCCAAGACACGTTTCGACAAACAACTGTTGGTATCAAACTTGCAAATAAGACCAACTTCGTTATTGAAGTCCCAAAGACATCAAATTATCGAGAAACCTTCGAAAATTAATGTTTTCGAAGGTCTCGGTTGCTACTGTTTCTCATAGTTTATATTTAGACTGTGAACCTTCTAAATTAAGGTTGAAATTGTCACCGGATTAGTTTGTATTTGCGTTGGGAGTAAGGTGGTCTAGTTCGAATTGTCTTGCAAGTTATTCTACGTTGCTTCGTTTCCAGTTGTGACTGGCATTTGTTGACATGAAGTTTTGAGGTATTCGTGGTTTGTTCAATGTTATTTGTAGGTTGAATTTAAATTGTATCAATAGCTTGTAGTATTTGTCCATCAATGGCATCAACGGCACGGCGTGTGGGAGAGCCATGCTTCAGCCCGAATGGGTCGGCTCGACTAGAGTGATACCACGGCCTCACAGAAAACAGGCGTGAAACAACCACAGCATTGTATTTCGCCGTGTGAGTGAGGTTCCAATCCTTCCCCTTCCCGGAACCTTCCCCAATCCCTAATCCCTAAAAGGTCGGCATCGCACTCGTAACTCCTCCGTTGTGGGTGTCCATGGGCGGCGTTGATTGCTTACCATCAGGTAATCCATCTGCTCGTTTGCCGACTTATTACATTAAAAAAAAACGTGAAAAGGATAGATTATTGCTGTTTTTATATTTTACATCATTTTTAGGGCTGATTTTTCAATGGTTAGATAAAAGATATCCGGTGAATAAATATGATGCTGTCGCGTCAGAAGGTTTGTATAAGACAGTGACAGCAACAATTTAATTCCTCAGATAACGTTTATCTGACTATTGAAAATCAGCCCTTAGTCATTCAATTCCTTATCATCCAACAATCAGCCTGCTAGTTGGCTACCCTCTTCCATAAAATGACCAAAAGCTCTACTTACTTGTGTACAGCACGCAGTGACGTTATGGTGAGGCATCGTGGGCCTCAGTCTCACAGAGACAGGCCTCAAAGTCTTTCCAAATGCGTTCTCTGCGTGACAGAAATAGTCTCCTTCATCAGCTTCTGCTATCTTCTTTATTATCAAACGCATCGTGTATTTGGTTTGTTCCTAGAGAAAAGAAGAATTTAGAATTATTCTATTGTATAAGTAGGAATTTTGCCAACAGCCTGTTTGCCGCCTTAACCCATAAAACAAACAAAGAATTTTGATGTGTGCTTATTTTGTCTTGGGGATATTTTAATATTATTAGTCTGGTAGGTACGTACACCAATTATGATAAGTGATTGAGCAATCAAGATAATTAACACTATTTTAACTTTTAATTTAAATGTTTACTTTATGCAGCATGGAAACACTACTTCTACCAAGTATCATAAAGATTCGTAAGTAATTGAAGTACACAACAAGATCGTGTGTCCCGCCGTAAACTGAGAAACGAAAATTCGAGTTGTGAGCGTGAAAAGTTTAGATGCAAGAAGTTCTGGTTTTCGTGTAGTTGGCTGTATCATTTTACGACCAGAACTATGTAGCTCCTTATTGGAAACTTGGTCACAAACTGTTAACAAGGATCAAAACGACTTCCACACGTACTCTCCATACTATTACGTGGATCAAGAAACTTTTGCCAGCGTATAAATAGATTGAAATACTGTCGTACAGATTTTGTAGTTTTACAAGATGTTTTTGTTCAAGAGTAGTTTATATAATTCGTGTACATTTGTCCATAATAGAAAAACGATAAATCAGATAATGATAATGCGGTTTCCTGAATTTGATTACGTTATGGTCTTGTTTGATTCGTTTTGACCTGAATTAAATTTCTTAGAGCTGACAAGCAGTGTGATTCTGTAATACTTCATTCTAAACTTCGAATGTGAATCCGCCGTGATTAGTAGTACACTAGCGCTACACTTGCGAGTTGAACTAAATTGACAGCATCATTTTGAAAGATAAAGTATGAAACGACGTTAAAAGTGGCATTCTAAAATTTAATTTCCCCGTCACTTCGACGCTCACTTCGCACTCGAACACGATTCAAAATCAAACAAATTTTATAGAATCGACGTGAAGTCCTATGAATTTAATTTTAATAATGTAAAAAACAACCCACTGAATAATTCTTTGGATCTCTTCATCCGGGGAAGACGACTCTCATCTATCTGACTTAAAACACTTCGGTGTTCTGTCTTTCACATGGGCGCGTTTGTTGCTTGTTTCAGAAAAAAGCTAATCGGCAGCTCCACTTGTACAAACGTTGTAATTTTGTAATGGTTCGTTCCGTAAGGACCACCTCAAGATACAAGAGGAGTAAGGAGTAACCTGCAATAACTGCCACTCACCTCAGGATCAGCAAGAAGCTGTATAGTATAGTTAGGTCCATCAATGACAGGAGTTCTTCCGTTAGGGTCCCTCCAGAATGCAATGGTAGGTTTAGGGAGAGCTTCCACTCGGCATTCGAGGATCACGGCGTCTCCAGCAGCCGCCATTGTGATACCAGACGCTTGGATTGTTGGTACATCTGGATGGAATTGAAGAGATATTCTGGGTAATTCTTTCGACAATTATGTGAATGTTATGCATGGATTTAATAGATTAATCAATCAGAAAAAAGCAAAATCAAATATGCATAGTTGGGTTATAGATAAAACAATAATTTTTATTTTGAAACTCACCTACCAAAAAGACATAAATGGATTTAAATATCCAGTAGCGTTAAATTTTGTGCAAAAAAGTGATAAGTCAAATACAGATCATATTATGAAAAATACATCTTCTTGGGAACAATAGCTGCTCAAGATATATTTGAAGAGCCACTTACGTGAAATGTTGATCTTTCTGGAAGCTTGCATTGGAGTGCCGTATCCATTATCAGCGTAGCAGGATATTTGATCCATGTCTCTTGTGACGTTGTGGATGACGGTCACCATGTGTCGTGTCACTTCTTGGCGGACGAGGCGACCTGGTGAAGAGATGGTTTTTTTTAATATCAAGGCTCAAGGGTTCCAGTTGTTTTTTTTATTGGCTATTAATCAACTAATGATTGTAATCAACTAATGATTTGACTGCATGGTTAGCGCAATAGATGGGCAATCGCCTGTTGCGTTACGCAATACAGAATGGATTCCCGCACGGAATATTTTATATAATATGTATAATCTTTAAATTATTGTTACGGGTTTGGGTCGGAAGTCTATGTTTATAAGTGACTAGCTCAGCTAATGTAAAATACGCAAATCAAATAATTTGTAGTAGTAGCATTCAGGATCATTGGAGCTATCTATCAGTGTAAGAATTTTGAAAATCAAATCAGGCAGCGGTTCAAAAGATTAACCTACATACAAACTCATTTCACACAAATTGTAGATACCTGTTTATAATATTAGTATAGATGATGAATCAAAACCATGTATTAAGAAGATATCACGTTTTATAAAAGTCAAAAGTCAAAAGTCAAAAGTCAAAAGTCAAAAATCATTTATTCCAATTAGACCTTTACAGGCACTTTTGAACGTCAAACAAAATATAAAATAAAAAAATAGTGTCAGTCTGTCGGTCAGTCCTCTTAGTGAAGCTATTTGCTCGTTCCAAAGTGTAGATTCCGATGGAGAAGAACGAGCAAGAAACTCCATGGTTACTCTTTTTAAATCAGTTTCACATACAGATTCCTTTTACAAACAGTTGGTTCAATTATGTGAGAACAGTGTAACACTAATATTTATTCAAATATAAAAATAAAGTAACCTTAAGGACAATAGACAGTCTGGAGCTGACCAGTCCCAACTGACGGCGCTCGTTCACGAGCATGACACGTACACCAGCATCGCCCAACTCAACCATATTATAGGGAATTAAGCGATCCAGTGCCCATGCCACCGCCAGTGTGACCTTTCAGTGAGCATGACAACTCCAAGCTGTTATAAGGACCGACATTCTGCTAGTCTAACCAATTATAAGAGGTTACAGGGCACTCACATTTACAAATTTATCAAGTTATAGTTATACAATATAATGCAATTTCACTAAAATGAAGAAGTCCCGTTCAAGCAAAATCCATTGGAACGTTATTTATTTTGGTGTACGTTTGCTATCCTGTGGAGCAGGACCAGCATGTCTCCAAGCATCTTTATCTACAATGTAATCATTCAGTGTGTAGTATGCTTTTCTACATAAAGTTTTCTTTACACATAATTTAAAATTTCTTTCATTTAATTGTTGTATTTCGCCTGGGATTTTGTTATAACATTTAACACAGAATCCCATGAACGACTTATGTACCTTTGCCAATCTAAATAATGGCTGACATAATCTATCTCTATGTCTAGTTTGATAATTATGTCTATCTGACACCTTATCGAATATTTTTAAGTTTATCCTAACATACATAATGTTTTCATAAATAAACTGACATGGCACGGTCATAATATTGATCTCTCTAAACTTTTCTCTAAGAGACTCACGACGCCTTAGATTGTAAATAGCTCTGATGGCACGCTTTTGCAAGACAAAGATAGACTCAATGTCAGCAGCCTGTCCCCACAACAAGATGCCATACGACATAATGCTATGAAAGTAGCTGAAGTACACCAGTCTTGCAGTGTCCACATCTGTTAGCTGTCGGATCTTCCAGACAGCAAATGCTGCAGAGCTCAACCGTCCTGCCAGAGATGTGATATGGGGCCCCCATTGTAGTTTGTCATCTATGGTTATACCCAGAAAAGTAGTTTGTTTTACAAATTCCAATTTATTACCGTTTAATAATATGTCACATTCGGTACTTTTAACATTTGGCAAACTGAATCGTATACATTTAGTCTTTTTGTCGTTTAGGACTAAATTATTAATTGTAAACCAATTATGAACCTTCGTTATAGCATTATTTACGTCGTCATAATTATCTGTCCGTCTATTTATTTTAAAAATCAACGATGTGTCATCAGCAAATAATACCATTCCCGGTTCACGTTGAAATAAATGAGGTAAATCATTTATGTACACTAAAAACAGGAAAGGACCTAATATTGAGCCCTGTGGTACGCCCATAGATATGCTAGTACCCTGGGAGTTCACTTTATTTACTTGTACTTTGAACTGCCTATCCTGCAGGTATGATTTTAATAAATTGAGAGATACCCCTCGAATGCCATAGTGTTCCAACTTCAGCAACAGTGTCGTGTGTTCAACGCAATCAAAAGCTTTAGACAGGTCACAAAAAATCCCAATAGCGTCGTTTGACTTTTCCCATGAGGCAAAAACATGCTTAAGTAGAGCTACACCGGCGTCAGTTGTGCATCGACCCTTGGTAAACCCATATTGTTGGTCATGAAAGATGGAATTTATGTTAAAGTGTCGTAGCATCTGAGAAAGCATTAGCTTTTCAAACACTTTACTAAGCACTGGTAAAATTGATACCGGCCTATAATTATTGGGATCATTGTCATCGCCAGATTTAAACAACGGAACTACCTTGCTAAGTTTCATATAAATATACATTTTTATTTCATGTTTTCATGTCAAACAATGTCTCATTATGTATGTGTAACAGAAAATATATTTTAAAGTAGTGCCTCAAAGCGATTGTTTTATAAATCAATAATTCAAGGTTTAGATGAAGCCAATCGACTTAAAGCGACGTTGTATCGGAAAACGATTGGTCACAGACCCTCGGGGAAGGATCTAACATTCCCTCTACTCACAGTGGTAGAATTATTCGCAGAAGTTTCGAGAAGCAATGCAGTAATTAAAAGCTTTGTTAATATGTGCATATATGCATCCTCATTAGTCTATTCGTATGGTTGCAAAAATAATTCGATGGTCGACAAAAAAAAAAAATCGGATGCCCTATTCTAGCTGTCTCACCTGTTAAGTCTTTGGAAAGTGCAAATAAACTCTGTTATTTTTCTTACTGTGTGTGAAGTCAACAAATGTATTGAAAAACTAAATTTCTACTTAAATTATTATATAGTATAAGTGAAATAAAATCGTCAAATCCAGTACAAATTATTATGAATTCCAACAAAATTTCGCAGGATCATACATGAAGAATATTGAAAATGTTTATTATCTATCGCACTAATTTTTCTCACATACAGATCAAGTGTGAAACTGATCCCGAATTGTGATAAGTGATAACTAGCTGTAATCTTCAAATTGTCTATACCGTTAAATACGAGTGAACATTCTGACTTAGGCTTTATAGTTTTCTTGTTACTAGGTCTTGTCTGGCGCGCTCTTTCTTAGTAATAATATTAAATAAGGATTTTAGAACAAAATCTTTATTGTTTTAATTATGAATGATAAACGAAGAACGAATATAATAAAAAAATAGATACCTCATAATAGTATTTGAGTCAGATTAGAGTATGTATTTAATTGGCGCCCACGTGGGACAGTTAGTCAAGAAATGGCGCCCAAATGGGCCTGTGATAAAAAGTGACGGAACAGAAATTTACATACAAGGCCTAATATAGTACCCAATTTTTCAGTTACTAGGACAGTAAATACTTAAAAGCTACCAACTTACCAGATATGTATAATGAGATGGTCGGCGTAGGTGTTCCCATTGCGATGCACAGGATTGTCATACTGGAACCCTCGACTACCAGGTTGACGGGGTTCACCGATGGGGGCTGGTGGAAAAACGTAACATTAAAATATTCTTATATATAATTATCATTGGTAAGTCAGAGTTGTCGTGGTGGCCTAGAGGTTCAAAATCTGGCAACTACCAACATGACTTTTGCCGAGTTACATGTACTTTCTAAGATTATTTAGACACCAAAGACACATTGTATAAAGTATTAGGTAGTAATCTGTATTTTGAATGTGTGAGAGCCGAGCTGCACGTCGATTCTATAAAATTTGTTTGATTTTGAATCGTGTTCGAGTGCGAAGTGTGCGTCGAAGTGACGGGGAAATTAAATTTTCGAATGTCACTTTTAACGTCATCTCATACTTTATATCAAAATGTTGCTGTCAATTTAGTTCAACTCGCAAGTGTAGCGCTAGTGAACTACTACTCACAGCGGATTCAGATTCGAAATTTAGAATGAAGTCTTACAGAATCACACTGCTGAGCGACTAGGCCTGTCAGGTGAAAGTATTATCATGGGCTCATAGGAAACCGACGTGACACATTGCTTGTTCGGTGTTTCTGTGTGTGTGTCACAATCCTTAAATACCCAAACCCCAAACCCCTAAAGGACGGCAACGTACTTCCAACTCTTCTGTGTGAGCGACCTCGATTGCAAATCCGATTGAACAATTTAAGGATAACATTTCATTTACGTTCCTTTATTCCTAGTATACTAACAATAAAATTGTTGGTATTAAATATAGAGTAAGCTTATACCTACTACTGAATAAACAATACCCAACCGATTTTAATACGCGAGAACATAATTGTTATCATAACAATTTTAATCGTTACATTTCACTAATTGGACACAACAACTGCAATGAAAACAGTACCCCGTTCCCAATTGAGATGCAATATTAATTTTGAAATGCAATCTGTTCTTGCAATTTAAATACAAACGCATTTCGTATTCTAAGATGGCTGCCGGGGAACATTGCTTCGCCAAACTATATTAGTTTGGTATTACTGCCTGGATGATATTGTGAATATGATATTTTAGATCTATACACGAATATATTTTGTACGAAATTTTGATAGTGTGTTACAAGTTTTTTTTACTAAAGGGCTGATTTTTCAATAGACAGATAAATCTTATCTGAGGAATGAAATTGTTGCTGTCACTGTCTTATACAAACATTCTGGCGCGACAGCATCATAATTATTCCTCAGGTAACTTTTTTGTAACCATTGGCGCTTTTTTGGCACTTTTTTGTAAACAGACAGATGGCGCTCTTGCCACGGTAAACATTAGCTCCGCAACAAAAATTATTTAAAAATAGTAAAACTGATAAATACAACGTTTTTATTGACAATCTGGTGAAGTGATTCATAAACTACGGGATATTAATAATTGCAACAATAAAAGTTCACATCTACTTACGAAAACCAACAAAACAATAAAGTGATAGAAAACATTTAAATGGTGAAGTTCATGGCAGTAAAATACAACACAAATCATTAATCTAACAATGATCAAGAAATAATCTAAAGAAACCGGAGGATTACAGAAAAAGTGAGTGATTTTTATAAATAACACACTAAAGCAAACCGTTAACATAATTTAAAATCGAATACGTTTGCTTTGTTCTAAAATTGACCTTTGGACTGTGACTACGCTCGAGAAGTTACATTTTATCCGCGCATTGAATAGAGTAACCTATTTCAAACTCAGTTATAATTACATGTTTGGCGGATTGGCTAAAGCAGCGCCTGCTAACAAGGAGTCACGAGTTCGCATCCGGATGACTGAAGTTGTTTTTGTACATAGAAATGTTGTTTTTTAGCGATCTGTGGTGAATGAAACAACTAACTCAATCATCAAATAAATTATCATCATTCCATCATTTTTTTTTTCTTTCTGATTGTTTTTTTTTTTTATAACATTTTATCAGAAAATTCATCCATATTTAACAACATTTTATAAGGATTAATTAATAAATATTAGTAAGCATCTATTGAGAAACGTACATACAAGTATTTAAGTACGAGAATGGATCCGATAAATAATGTCACGATTAGAAGACATAAAACTATGACCAAATCAAGGTCTACTGAGTCAATAAATAACAGCATAAATACAAGCCCTCTATCATGTGATGATAATATATTAGTCAGAAGCTTAGACCTTTCCACTAATATATGCTCCACTATTGTGTCTGACCTCAAGGACGAAATTAGAGATCTAAAGAATAATTTAGAAAGTACGCAACATGAAATGGAAAATGTCATTCTAGAAAACATAGACCTGAAAAAGGAAATAAAAAATATACAGCAAGAGTTAAACGTTTTAAGGCAATTATGTAGAAGCCCTTTGACTACTTTTCGACACAACATGTCTTCAAGCATGAAAAAAACTGTACGTCGTCGCCTTACAAACAGCTTTCAAATATCTCCTCTGAAACTTAACGAAAGTAATACGACCATATCTACGGCCCTGGACAAAGTAAGTACCAGTCAAGCAGAAACTTACATAATTGCTAGACAGTCGGACAAGAAAACAGAGGCTCAACAAGTCATCGCAACAAATTTCCCTCAACAACAAGAAGTCGAGACAGTTCAAGAACCCAAAAACAACTTACTTTCACCCATCATAACGAAACCGAAATTAATATCAAGTAGACCAGAGACTCAAAATATTAATAAAAGACAAAAGCAGGAAAAAAGGGCATTTATAGTGGGAGGTAGACAATGCAGGGGATTAGCATCACAGCTTTGTAAATCCAGACTCAATAATACCTATAATGATTATCGTTTTCTATCTATTATTAAACCAAATGCCTCTACAGAAGAAATATTGACGAGTATTAAACTATTTGACATTACCCCCGATGACAAATTAATTATATCTATAGGACAAAATGACACAAATACATTAAAAATGACTACAGAACTTGTTCTGTTTTTAGAATCGATTGAATGTCCGGTACTCATCATTAATGTGAGTAAAAACATTTGTTCCATTGAATCCAAATTGAATAAAATGCTCGAACTTATTTGTAGACAGAGGAAGAAGTGTTCTTTCATATATAATTATAATAACATTACATCATTATGTTATAAAATAAATTCAGCGATAGACCAACTAGACTACGATGAAACATTTTTGCAGTTTAGTAAAAATACCCAAAACAGACCGGGAACGAGTATGGCACGTACGAAACATCAAAGTACTCAAACATACAGTAGCTCTCTTAATCACAATTTAAATGATGCTTCACATGATATTGGCACTTTAGAAGTATCGGCAAAAGAAACGTTTTTTCGAGGCTAAACAAAGTTATAACCACGTCGTATTCCACCAAAATATTGCTGGTGCCATTAATAAATCTGATGACATTGAAATAGCAATAAATCTGCTAAGGGATAAAAATTGCATAGTCGATTTTATTTGCCTAACTGAGACTTTTATCAAATCCGGGGACGAAGAAAACTTAAAAATAAATGCTTTTAAATTAGTTAGTACCTTTTCTAGGAAAGACCAGAAACGCGGGGGTGTTTGCATATTAATAAGGCAAAATATTGAATACGAACGCATTGAATGGCTAGAAAACATGACATTAGAAAAACACTTCGAAATATGCGGAGTACGTCTAAAAAAATATAACATTAATTTACTGTGTGTATATAGAACACCTAATTCAGATTTAAATATTTTCTTAAGAAAAATACAAATATTACTCAATAAACTTCATGATAAAGAGCATTACAAGAACATAATATGTGGAGACTTTAACATTGACATTTTGAATAATACAAAACATAAAAACGAATTTATTAATATCCTATACAACTATAACTTTAAACCGTACATAACTCAACCTACTAGACAAAACACTTGTATTGACAATATAATTAGTGACATTAAACATTCTAAAGGAGAAGTACACGAATTGGGACTATCAGACCATAACACAGGTCAAACACTGACAATTAATAGTAAAAATAAATTAGAACATAGTCTAAATAAATATTGGTTTGTTTCAAAAAGAGACCTATGCAAAGATAACCTAGACAAGTTCCGCTATTACATCAGTAATTTATCTTTCTCAAATGTTTTCCAGGAAACTGATGTTAATAAGGCTTTTACATTATTCCACAATGAAATCTGTTTGTTTTTTAATTTGTGCTTCCCTTTTATAAAAATCAAAATGAACCAAAATTCTAAAAACCCTAAATGGATTACTAAAGGTCTAAAAAAATCTTTTGCCACAAAGCGTAAACTCCAATACGAATATTATAAAAACAAAAATAGTCAAAATAAGAAAAAATACGCATCTTACTGTAAAATATTGAGAAATTGTGTCATAAATACGCAAAATAGGAAAAATAAAAAATATATAGAAAAAGCCGAAAATAAATGTAGAGCCACATGGAAAATTATCAATGACAGACTGAAAGGTGATCACCAATCGAACGAAATTAGGGAAATTTTGAATGGTGAACAAACGATAAAGAATGGTGCCGATATTGCTACACATTTTAATGATTTTTTTATAAACATTGCAAAACCAAACATGGTTATACAGTCTACAAATAAACCAATTTGTGGGGCAAGGGTTGCAAATTCTATCTTTCTTAAACCTGTAGATTCTGCTGAAATTTATAAGTTAGTAATGGGGTTGAGAAATACTAATTCGGCGGGGTACGATGGTATTACAACTAGAATATTGAAAGAAAACATCTTGGCATTATTAAAACCATTGGATTACTTAATAAACTTATCCATGGAAAAAGGTATTTTTCCTGAAGCACTCAAACTGTCAGTTGTTATACCACTCCATAAAAAGGGCTCGAGAATGGATGCAGGTAACTATAGACCAATTACTTTAATTCCAATCTTCTCCAAGATATTCGAGAAAGTAATGTGCATAAGACTGACTAAGTTTTTTGAAAAAAATGATATAATATGCCAACAGCAAAACGGTTTTATTAAAAATAAGTCTACCACTCTAGCAGGCTATAAATTAGTCAAAGAAATTCTCAGTGCTTTAGACAGAAAACAGGTTCCAATAGCCGTCTTCCTCGATATGAGTAAAGCTTTCGATATGGTATGTCACGAAAAGCTGCTTTATAAACTGGAACAGTACGGCGTAAGAGGTCCAGCCTACAATTGGTTCGATACCTACCTTCAGGGTCGAAAACAGTGCACCGATATAGTTAAAATGTGCCCAAAATCTAACAACTACGTAACATATAGATCTGAATACAAAGTTAACAAAAGTGGTGTGCCACAAGGGACTGGAATCTCTCCATTGTTATTCTTAACATACATCAACTCCCTGCCTGATTCAACTGACCAATACACCATTCTATTCGCAGACGACACCACTATTTTGACCAAAGAGGACACTGTGGAAAAAGCAGAGAACGCCACAAATAGAGCTCTAGAAAGCATACATGACTGGTTAAATCAAAATAATCTACAAATAAATACAGATAAAACCAAATTTATGACATTTAGTACGTATAATACCAAATCAAAATCGAATGACACAGTTGACATAAAAATAAAATACAATAATAATGACATTGAAGAAGTAAATAATATTAAATTTTTAGGTATATATTTTGATAAATTTTGCAATTGGAAATCACATGTAGATATAGTATGTAAAAAAATCAATAAATTTATATATGCACTAAGAAGAATAAAAAAAATAACAAATGTTCAAACAGCACTACTGGTATACCACAGTCACGTATGCTCTGTATTGAGATATGGGATAGTCATCTGGGGAAACTCCACAGATGCACAAAGAGCATTTATAGCTCAAAAAAAAAATGTCTCAGAGCGATTTATAATCTAAACTGGACTGACTCCTGCAAACCGGTTTTTAAAAATAACAATTTACTCACATTTCCATCACTATACATTTTTGAAATGTGTAAATTCGTTCGAAATCATTCATCGCTCTTTGAAAAGGATGATAACGCCCTCTCAAATAGGAAAATTAGGCAAAAGCCGCTAGTAGTGCCGCGAAATCGTCTTAAGCTGTGTGAAAAAAATTGCTCCGCGATGGCAGTGAAGCTATTTAATAACCTTCCGGATTCAATAAGAAAACTGAATGATTTAGAATTTAGTAGAACACTTTTTCGATGGCTATGTGACAAATGTTTTTATTCGATTGATGATTTTATAAATTTGAAATCGTTCTGACATTTCATAAGTCCTAATAATAAAAATAAATTGACTTTCATAATATTAATAATACTTTCGAATTTTAAATTGATGTAATTATGTATCAATATATGAAATTAATTCGCTATTTAATATGACAACGCTAACAATTTATCTCTTTTTTAATAATTGTGTATGTAATGCATGTTTAAATATTAATATTGTTTTGACCCAGTTGTCACAAATATTTGCACGACTTGATGTATGTCGAATATAGTGAAACTCTAAAATTGTCGATCACCATGTATAACCTATATTCTAGCAAATAAAGTTTTCATTCATTCATTGAAAAATCAGCCCTAAAATACTAAAACTAGATTAGACATTATTCCTAAGCAAAGCTAAGTTAGGTGTCTTCTTTTTGTAGTTTTCCCTGTAGTAATAAGGTTTTTTTTGTGGGATAGGTTCCTTTCCTTTTGGAGGTGATTTGGAATTTGGGGATTGGGGTTTTGGAGTTAGAACCGGAGGATCGAGCTTTCAGTAATCTCAAACGGCGTAAGACAACGCAAGTTTTATTTTCAGTTTTTTGCGAGGTCGTGGTGTCACTCCGGTCGTGCCGAAGTATGGCTATGTTTTCATCAGTTATGTAAAAGGATATTAGTTTTGACCATTGCCTTATACCAGACACACTTAAAAATTCCGTACTACGAGTTTGATCTTTTAAAGATCGAAAAACGAAAAACCCGATCTTTCTTAGACTGACTCGAAAATAGAACCCGAAACAGGTTACGGTAGGAGCTTTTTACTACCTAAAGGTAGGTATTTTCGACTTTGGGAGATTACTTCAATTGCATACAATGTATAAATGCTTCAGTAGATTCCCTTTGAAGTTTTCGTTTTCATATATTTTCTTGTAACACTTCAAAAGGGCCAATTTGCATTAAAATCCTCAGTGCCAAGGCGGAGTAAGCATCGTATTGCCGCAAGATATTGCATTCAATAATTCTGAGTAGAATGTTTTAAAATGCAAATGTTGCTCACACTTTTTATTTAAAATGCTCGACGTGTAAAAGTGCTGTTTTATTTTCTGGCCTATTTACAAAAATAAATTCATTGTTTCTTTTATTTTTTTTATGGTTTTTGTACTTAAAAATACACAATAACTAGCCTTCTTACACGGAAAATGTTTGAAGATTTATTACCGCGTTTACTTAACGTGAATCTCAAATTTATAATTTGAAATTTTAAGTTAGGGTTTCCTGCTTTTCCGTTCTCCGTTTATCAGTGGCGTAAAGTACACATAACTTAAAATGTCGCATTGGTATGTGTTAGGTTTTTAATCCACACCATCATTCATGAGAAGCAGCAGGCTAAAACTGTGCCACCGCACCATTAAAGTAAATAGATCAGGTCAGCTATTTCTTTGTAGTTTTGACTATAAAACTTTGCATAGGTAGGTGTACTATTCTTAACACTATCGGACTGTGAAGACGCAAAAGTCTGGACTACTAAGAGTAAAGAATAAATTAATAAGAAGAATCCTGTTAGGTTGGGAGTCGGGCTCGTACTCAAAGGGCTTTACCGAAATCACGTTTTTTTTTGTATTAAAGCTTTCTTGTTTATTATTATTTGGTATAGGCAGAACAGAATTACCTACATTTGTTCACACTTCAATTATTTATCTATGCGGTTCTTGAGACGGAGCCTAGTAATAGATAGATAGACAGATGCATAGATAGAAAACGGTAAACGGTTTTTATTATTTGGGAATATATTAAAATAAAAGAAATGAAACTAGCATTATTTTAAAAAAACCCATTTTAAAGATCCGTTTAACAGCACTCACCTCAACATAAGCAGGGTAAGCTGGATCAGTCCAGGCCAGTAACGTCTCCGAAGGTTGGGAGTCTCCAGCTGTAGCGTGAGCCTTCACCCAGATGACATATTGGGTGTTTGGTGCCAACTTCTCCAGCGTATGTCCTGGCACGGTCGTTGTAATGTTCGTGACGTTGGTCTGACTTAGTTGAGATGGTGACTTGTAGAATAATCTGGAATATTGTTGGAATGTTAGTGCTTTTTCCAAGTAGGTATTTTGTTATATTGTTACAGTAGTCAGTTGATTGCTGTACTGGGATATTTAGGAGGGTTTAAATGCTTTGAGAAAGAAGATGTTGTTTTTTTTTTTAATTGAGAAAAGCTCGTCTAGTTTCAAGTCACAACAGGATTCAGTCAGTCAGAGTCGGCTGAGTAACGTTACCGCGACGTGCTCGCTGATCATTAATAAGAGTCCTGTTGTTACAATCAATTCTAGCAATTTATTCGTTAATAATAATAACAACACTGTTGTCTAGTTTAAATATTGATTCCAAGATCTCCAACTCAATAATCGACCATTATAATAAAACTAGCAACTGTAAACGCCTAGCATGTGTGCGCTCACCAATATCTCACGCACACACGCATACGACACAAAGAACAACCGCTGCAAGCGACGATGTCGATTCTCTAGTCCAACCCGGCATTACACACCTATACAATTATACTCCTTTTGTAATTTTTTTTTGTTTTGGTCATTATACCTACCATTTATTATCAAAATCTAAGTAGTTCCTTTTTTTATTCTTTCACCCCGTCATAATTACTAATAAGTGGGTACTATGTGAACCTCAATACAAGTCTACATTTGGACCTTCGAACCGGATCTCTAAACTTTATCTTTCCTTATCCTATCTTTAAACACGATTTTGTAATATTCCAAGAAATCACATAACAAAACACATTTAGTAAAAAATAATATTTTGTTAATATCTATAAACAGTAAGAAAATATCACTGATTTAACTAAAAGGAACTAGTTCAGAGCCTCTTATGAATTAAATATAAAAATGGTGGAAAAAACTGAGTAACAGGGAAAAGTTTTCGTATAATAATAATGGCGAAAAACGTAAGAACTAGTAGTATTAGCTTTAACATTATTTCCAAGTCTTTTAAGTGTTTTCCTTCGAAGAAAGTTTTCTCTCGCTTTAAACAAGAAGTTTATTTTTTTGCAACGTTTTGTGTTGATGTTCCTTCATTTTGAATTTGTGTTTTTTTTTGTTTTGATATTTATATTGTTCATTTCTTTTATTGACCATCTTATTAATGACCTATTTTTATAGTTTTCAAGATTAAAAAAAACTACAATGTATAAATCATCCATGTGTGCAAAGAAATAAATGATTTATGATTTATTAATGGTTGTTTTTTTATATTACATTGTAAAATGTGTTGGTAATCAGGTAACAACAGTTGGTCTGAAGAGATTAAAAGAATGAATGAAAGAAAAATATTTATTTTTTAGGCCAAAAAACAAAAGACTACTTCTGAGTAAGAGACTGTAGAGGTAAATTAGTCTTTAGTTAAGTTTGTGCAAGACTATAAAGAACCGAATTTTGAAAAGTAAAAAAATGTGTATCGAGTCAACTTCGAAGTAGGTATGCTACAAAAATAAGGATTAATTCTATTTTCTTATTTTCGATTTTTTTCTAAAAATTTCGACAATTTTGGCACCTTTATTGATGTATTTTTTATGCGAGGTAAGACATAAAATATCTATGCGTTGATTTGGAAACCTCTTTTGTATTATTTTAGTTATTTGCTAGATACTTGTACTTACGTGTATGAGATCTTCTCGTCAGGTTGGGAGAACTGTGGCGGTTGCCAGGTCAGAGTCAGCCATGTCGCCGAGTGAGAGGACACTGATAGAGAGTGGGGCGGAGACGGGATTCCTGCTACTTCCTTCTCTTCTGTTGGTAAGAAGAATAAAATTGTATTAAACACCTACATTCTACTTTATGAATATTCTTTACAATACCTAAGTCAGACTCTTACAGACTTGACCGCTTCGTTCTTTTTTCTGCTCCAGGCCGAAATATATCGTAATAATTTTTTACGTCCAATAGCTTACTATATTTGGAAAATTAGCTAGAAATAATTTTAAATGAAATAATTCGTTAAAACAATGAATGATAATAACGATTATGCTTTAACAATTCATTTTACTTTTAGACTGAAAAATAATTAATTTTCGTTCTAGGAAACAACTCAATTCTTTATGCGATGTTCCTATTGTTATTGCAGGTTTACATAAATATGTAGATAATTTTTATGACAAAGTTTACCTTGATACCTTATTACATTTGACAGGAATTCCTGATACTAATTGAACTTCTAGTTATAAACTCACCAGTCTCGGAGACGTTGAAGAGCAGCATGCTGGAAGGTAGCGACTCTCCGTACATGTTGGCAGCGACCACAAACACGTGGTAAGTACTGTTCTTCTCCAGGTCATTGATGTGGGTCATCGTGTCTGACACGTTCAGTTTCTATACGACAAAAGAATATTGGAATTAAATTTCTGGTATAAGATAGGGTAGGTATGTAACGTGTTTTCTACCTATGTGATAGGTCGACAAATAAGCAATCGGACAATCTGATGGTATGCAATCAGCGCCGCCCTTGGACTCCCGCAACAACAGAGGAGCTAACATGTGCGTGGCCGGGGATTAGGTATTTGGAGATTTTGGGATTAGGAGAGGGGAAGGTCTGGGCCACCGGTTAGCTCACTCACACGGTGAAACACAACGCATAAACTTCGTCGTGTTGTTCATCTTAACGTAAAGCAATTAGGTACTCTGAATCGTAATCGTGTTTTGCTTGTTTCCGAGGACATTAATGGATCAGTGAGATTTTGAGATAGTTTAAAAGTACTTAAGTTTATAGTTTCTCAAAGACATGGTTTGCAACTGAAAGGTGCTCGCACATTTGCAACTATTTGCTGTAAATGATCTTTAGCAAGGGTGGAAAACTTGATTAGACTTAAGTATGGATCACTTTTATAAAAATAATTATGAAATTCTTTTTTATTCGGATCTTTCACTCACAAAACGCATATCTAATAATATACATAATCTAAAACGTATGTACACATAGCATGTAAAGTCAAAAGTATACTCATAAAAGAGCATACATTGTAAAGTTTTGCAAATGACTTTTGTTTCTAGAGTTATATTGTATTCTACTTTAGGTAGGTTATCTAGTATTGCATAACGACCTAGTTCTAAACCTAAGAAGTCTATTGTTAGTAGTAAAGGTTTATTTCAATGCACGTTCTACTGGAATCCTAATGGGAGATGTTTAGTGGGCTAGAAGAATTTAATGGGTTCTCTTCTAAGCTGAAATAGGTACGAGAGCTTTGGGAATTCTAGCCTTTAGTTAACTTCACTGGATTACCGTTCAGGATGTGGCTTTAAACAGCGGATTTGTAATGACAATTTTTTGGTAGACAGAAAAAATTTTGTTTTTGTTGTAAGTTTTTTTTTTTATGTAAACGATCGGCAAACGAACTGAAGGATTACCTGATGGTGCAATCATCGCCGCCCATGGATACTCGCAACGAAGTAGTTACGAGTGCGTTGCCGACTTTTTAGGGATTAGGGATTTCAAGATTTAGGGATTGAGGAGGGATTAGGGGAGGGACATGATTGGGCCTCCGGTAACCTCACTCACACGGCGGTTTTCTGTGATGCCGTGGTATCACTCCGGTCGAGCCGACCCATTCGTGCCGAAGCTTGGCTCTCCCACACTTAAAGATAGATTTAGAGTTGGAAGGTTATTAGTTTTTCTTGTCGTGTCTCTTTCAAGTTTGGGCAAATTATTGATGATTTCTTTTCGCTTTTTTGTGAGGGGAAAATCAAATGCAGGAAATGATTTCTTTTGGCTAAGTTAAGATTGAATAATAGCTATTCCACTTGAATGATGTTCCATTTCCAGTTTGCTTAAAATATTTTTGGTATCACTAAAGACGAGTCTGATGTAGGATTAATCTTTTCCAAAAAATCAAATAATGCACGAGCAACTAACCGAAATTTTCATTTGTTTTTGGAACTACAGCTAAAGAACATTCAACAAACATCGCATAAATATTTGATGTATATTGGCTTTTTTTAAATGTGAACCAATACTAATAAAAGCCAGCCTTTTATTAGTTGACCATTAATATTGGTTTGTTTAAACTCCGTATTTAGTTTTTGATTTTTTTAATGTAATATGACGACAAACGGTCTAATATCTGATAGTAAGCAATTAGCGCCACTTAAGGGCATCCGTAACAATGCGGAGTTACGAGTGCGTTGCTGACTTTTTGGGAATAAGACATTTGGAGATTTTTGGATGGGGGAGGGGAAGGATTGGGCCACCGGTAACCTCACTCACACGACGAAACACAACGCTGTTGTTTCACGCCAGATTTCTCTGAGGCCTTGGTATCACTCCGGTCGAGTCGACCCATTCGTGCCCTTCAGGGGCATGGTTCTCCTACACTATAACCTCTTGTATTAATAGTTCTTGCATTCACTTTAAAGTTGGTTTTTTTACTGTACCGGAGAATTGTCAATTTTGAAATTGCTCTGGGACCGAGGGAGTTCCTTGTATTACCACTGCACGCTGCAGATAGAATAATTCTTAGAATCCTCTGCAATTTACTGCTACCAAAGAATTGTAGTACGTCTTTGGTTGTAATATTTTGATTTCAAGAAATTTTATTTCCGTTTAGGTGGGTTTGTATTGTTATTTTTCACGTTTTTAAACGCTTTGCTAGCTAATATTATGGGGATTGATTATAATGGAAAAGTATATGTCAACTATTTTTGTGTAATAGTTCTTATTGTTTTGCGGTGCTGTAAAAGTTATAAAAAGTTTAATTTTATATAAAGTTTTTGACTCTTTTTGAGTACCTAGTTCAAAACCGTTGTTCTTCGTGTTTTGTTCGGAGTGTATTACTTGATTTTTTGGGAACAAAAAGACCTACATCATTTCAACACCAGTGAAAGATCTACAAGGTACTCTTATCTGCTTCGAGTTATTTTTCACACTCACCTAATCTCCAAATCCTCCCTTAATAGTCCCCAAACCCCCGCTCCACCATCTCTGAAACCCCTAACGTAATGTAGGTGTCCATGGGCGGAGCCGTTTTCTCACCATCAGGTCAACAAATCTAGCTTCATAAAAAATAATCTCCAAAACTTACATTATAAGTATTCTGCATAGTATTGTAGCTGTAAGGCTGGGAATTGTTGTCGATCTTCTGCCAGTAGACCACGTATGACGTGGCGTTGGCTCCATCCTGAGGAGTTGTCCAGTCCAAGAACACACTGTTGGAGTTCACCAGGGCATGCAGTTCTCTTGGAGGGCCTGGTAAGAGGCCAGTACCTGGAGAAAGAGAGGAGATAAGTATATGCAAATCTTTAAAAACCGTTGCATTATTCTGGGGTTCTTAAGTGTGGGAGATCCACGCTTCGTCACGAATGTGTTGGCTCAACTGGTGTGATACCACAGAAAACCGCGAAACCACCACAGCGTTGTATTTCAGCGAGTGAATCAGGTTACTGGAGGCCCAATCCTTCCCCTCCCCTATTCCTAAAATATCCAAATCCCTAATCCCCAAAAGGTCGGCAACGCACTCGTAACTCGTCCGTGGTTGCGGGTGTCCATGGGCGGCGCTGATTGTTTACCGTCAGGAAATTTGTTTGCTCGTTTGCGTGTGGCGTGGGGTGCGTTTACAAACATATATTTTCACATGCACTTAACACCCGGACAAACAATTTGTTGAACACACAAATACTTTTTCTGAATGGGTCTATCGAACCCACGTCATATTGCACGGTAGACGGTGGCTCACACACCGCGTCAAATGAATATGAACTTTGGAGATATATGAAAATGTTACCTTCTTCGAAGCACTGTACGATGTTCCCGATGTAAGGCACGCAGGAGTTGACGCCGCCGCTGTATGCGCCGGCACACACGCCGCGACACGAACTCGGGACGCCGCGCCGCGCACAGCACTGCTCATGGTTGCGACCTGCACAAGCGATCGTGATTAATATTAGGTATATAGGTATTACAATAAATTCAAATATTTAATGATGGCTAAGTTAGTTCAAGTCAACTTCTTAGCACTTTGGAACGAGAAACTAAGTGTTCCAGGATACAAAAAGAGGTCGAATAGGTGCAGACACTTTACATGGACGGGTAGAGTATTTTTCTCGTACCTAAAGAACAAACTCGTACTTTTACCACTACACAGATAAGCACCGTAAAACGACTTGTTTTTTGCTAGCGAAAAATCATAGAATGACTCCTGATCACCTGTCCTAGGTTGGGTGAGAAGGGAGTGTTAGACTCTTCCTGACTAAAAATGTTGGTTTTTAGTCAGTAAGAGTTAGAGAAACGGGTTGCCGTTTCTCCTTCTCCTGAGTACATTATTGTACCCTAAGTTTGTGACTACACCTTCAAATGGTCACTAATATATTCAATTAATGGCATCTAAAAGTTGTATGATATGTTCCTTACCTCCAGCTCCACATCTGAGAAGCTTATGGAAGTCCTGGGCACATAGAGGAGCCAGCATCCTGAGATCAGACATCTTGGCGTCATAGGAGCAGAGCGGCATACACACGCCTGCCAGCTGAACACGCTCACAACACGCTGTCACGTTGTAAGAGTTCGCTACTTCTTCTTCTTCTTCTATCACCTAAGATACAGAAGACATTTTTAAATATTGGATCATTTTAGTGTTGTATATCTGTAGGCCATTATTTTCATTAAAGAATTTGAAACCCAGTTTGAACTTTCTATTATTGACTAGCCAACAATTTCGGAGCTATCTTATTCACACATATTATCCAAAGTCGAAATGGTAGTTCAAAATTCATGTGTTGCTGTAGTCATTTATAGACAAACGGCTAACACAACTGTTATTTTTCTTTGTTCTAATTAATATTGTATTTATTATGAAAAATACATGCTTTTTCTCTCGCTCTACTTAACTGCTTTGTCAGAGAAAGATAAACGAGGCAAAAATGCCCAATGCAATTACAAAGTAATATTGGTCTCTTTAATAAGTACACAGTATAAAACAAAGTCGCTTTCTTTGTTATTATGTGCGCTTAAATCTTTAAAACTACGCAACGGATTTTGATGCTGTTTTTGTATTGGAAGTATAATAACATCCATTTAATAGTGGAAAAAATAGTATGAGCATTGCATTCGTGTGAAGCTGGAGCTAATATACAATAAAAATGAGCCTGTCTGAAGGTCACTTACTTGACTCTGTGTCCTAAAGATGAGTCTGGGTGAAGCGTCACCCACTCCATGTTCGTTAACAGCTTCCAAATAGATCTCATAGTCCATGTTAGACTCCAGGTCTTCTAAGATGTATGGCGAGTGTACCTGAACGAAAAAGAAGTCGTGAAGAAAAAGTCAAACGATAAAAAATGTTAGGTATATCATTTTGATCAGTTATCCTATTGATATGTGGTGGAAGAAATTTTCTTGTAAAAGCCAGAACTTATGATAATTGAACGCCTTTCCTATAAGAGAAAAGAATGAGTATTACTCTTTCTTCAGAAAAGGCGTTTCTGTCAGTGGAAACAAGTAATAGTAGAGGCATAAATAGTATTAAGAAAAGACTTGGATCTTAGTTACTGAAGTTTAATGGCACAGGGCACCGAAACTCTGATCTCTCTTTCTTACCTTCTCCAAAACCCTGTATTCATCTCCAGCTTGCAGAGCCTTGTAATGAAGGTTGTAGTACTGCACAGTATCAGCCAATGCCGCAGGAGGAGACCAGTGCACTACTGCGTAGTCTGTGTCGATGTTCGTCAGGTACAGGCGGGAGGGAGCCCCAGGGAGGACACCGTATCCTCGGAGGAGGCAGTTGGTGTAAGAGTTCATGTAGCGAAGGCACCTGGGGAAATTGAGGATTATAGAAGAGTGTGTCTCAAAAGAGGTTATTGATGGGTTTAATTTCTGAAGGGTTTTATTTATAGTGTTGTTAAGATCTCTGATCTTGAGCAGTAAAGTGGTCAGATTTAAATGACATTTAATTTGTCTAAAGCGTTTGATCAATCAAATTTCAATCGATCAAAAATGGAGAGATAATTGATACAATTTGTTTCGTATGACGATGAACCCAATTAAATTAAAGTTGTCTTAATAAGAACGCTATGTGAACCTGTTGGGCATGCTTGTTAAGTATTTGGTTGTTACATTTATTACTCTTGTATGTTGTTGGTATACCAATAAATAAATAAATAAACTCAAAGTTAAAATTATTTATTCTAAACCATAAATACGTCCTTCTGTAACGTCAAAGTACAAAAACCTCGTCAGTGGAGCTAGATGCTCGTACCGAAGCAGTTTCAAAAGGTCTTTTCCTTCCGTCCGTTCGACAGGAAAATGCCTTTTGAAACTAAACTTTTTATGAGCATTAAAATCCATCGACAACTTTAATAATACCTTCACAGTCGATGCGATATGGATATTTAGACAAGAAGCTACAGATCATTTTTAGTCTAAAAGTCTCATTAAGTGTGGGAGAGCCATGCTTCGGCACGAATATGTCGGCTCGGATGGAGTGATACCACGGCCTCACAGAAAACCGGCATGAAATAACCACAGAGTTGTGTTTCGCCGTATGAGTGAGGTTACCGAAGGCCCAATCCTTCCCCTCCCCCAATACCTCCTATTTCCCAAAATCTCCAAATCCATAATAACCAAAAGGTCGTTAACGCACTCGTTACTCCTCCGTTGTTGCGGGTGTGGCTCGGTTGCCGACCAATCACATAAAAAAAGTCTCATTCTTTACAACTTCGTATATTCCATATAAAGTTAAATAATACACATAAATACCATATCCATATACTAAATAAAGACAACAATACACCTGGCCTTTGTGAAGGTAATCTTAAGTGATTTGGTTTTTATATTTTTTATTTAAAAATGAATTTGTTTCGCGAAACTCCGGAGTTGGAACCTTCAAAGCGATTCGAGAGTCCTTCGTGTGTCAATTGTGAGAAGTGCACTTAATTAGGGTTCCGAGATATTTCAAGAGGCGTCACTTTTTCGTAATATTTTGTACAGATTTTGTATTTGTATCCATTTCTGGTGTTGAGAATAAAGGTAGTCTTGAGGAGGTGGATACTTGAAAGTATTTCGTGTTCCTGTACTGCGTACAATTTTTCGCTTTATAAAAACAAAATACGTCTATGTAAATTGTCTTGTAAATCAAGGAACTGATTCGTTGAATCTGTTAAGAATTATCGCGGTTTTTTTCTTTCTTTTCTCATGTCGCTGGTTTGCAAAGTGTTGCGGGGTCGATACCCGCACGGAATGACACTTTGTGTGATCCACAAATTGTTGTTTCGGGTCTGGGTGTGATGCATATATGAATTTATATGTTTGTAAACGCAGCAATGACACAGGGAAAATATTAATGTACGTCGGACAACGAGCAGGCTGTTTGCCTGATGGTAAGCAACCAGCGCCGCCAATGGACAACCGCAATAACGGAGGAGTTACGGGTGCGTTGGCGACCTTTTGGGGATTAGGGATTTGGCCTCTGGTAACCTCACTCACTAGGCGAAACACAACGCTGTGGTTATTTCACGCCGGTTTTCTGTGAGGCCGTGGTATCACTCCGGTCGAGTCAACACATTCGTGCCGAAGCTTGGATCCCTCACACTCAACCTCTTCTCCTACTTTTATAACTGGATAGTTACAAAACATTTTGTGAGAACAGCAATCCAGTTAAAGTTGTAAGTAAAGCAGTTATCAAAGAGTGTATATACCAAGCTAATAAATGTGAAATGCAAACTGGCTACTCTCAAAGTTATAATCCAAGAGTATAAGGGATAACTTAGATGCGGGCAATGCTTGGAAATAAACTTATACTATGATAGTCCAAGTTTAGAAACTTGAGTGGCCTTTGCTAAATTATTTCTCACGACTGCACGGTTGGTGCGGTGGCTGGGCAACTAGCTGCCGTGCAACGTGTCGCGGGTTCGATTCCCGCACGGAACAACACTTTGTGTGATCTACAAATTGTTGTTTCGGGTCTGGGTGTCATGTGTATGTGACACTGTATGTTTGTAAACGCACCCACAACACAGGAGAAAATCCTAAAGTGGGGCAACGTTTTAATAAAAAATAAAAAATCTGTAGTTTCAAATATCATCATTTTTGTATAACTAAACTTGTATAGTAAATTTTGATGTTTGAAAATGTTAGCTAGAGATTTATTTTGTTCATTTGTAACTTGATTGTTTTATTGGAGATAATGGATGTCAGTTGTATATATCACAGATGATTATAGCTATAACAGACACACAGACAGTTTTGAAACTGATTTATCATTTGAGCAATAACATTATGTAGTAAAACTTGAATCTGGAGACAGTTCAAAGTTAACTCGTGACAACTATTACTGTGAATGCTAAAATCATATAAATCACAACTTCATTGAAAAAAAAGTCGTTTTCTCTGTCCCTATATCCCTATGCATACTTTAATGTTTAAAACTACGCTATGGATATTGATAATAGATCAAATAATATGTAATTTTATTTGTATGTATGTATGTATAATGAGATAAATTTACTAACAGCATTCCACCCATGCGGAACCGGGGCGGTCGCCATAATATCCTCGTATATAATAATTGAAAATCTACCCAACATTCATGAGATCACAGAATAAGTTTTTTTTATAAAATATGTCGACAAATGCGCAACGTATAACTTGATGGTAAGCAATCTCCAACGACCTTGGGTGACTGAATCGCCAGAGGAGTTAAAGGTGCGTGACTTTGGGAGTTAGGGATTTAAAGGTTGGCTATTAGAGATTAGAAATGGGGTAAAGAGGTTTTCGGAAACCTAACTCACACGGCAAAACTCAACGGAAGCATTTTTTACGCCGAGACATAATCTAAGCGTTGTTTTACGCCGTGGTATCACTCTATCGAGCTGTCCGTGCCTTGCCACTCTAAAAAGTATTGCCAGCAAAACAAAAAATTAAGTCTTTATTCAAATAGCATTAAGAAGTAATACTTTTACAGTTAAGTTTATGAGATTATGTAAATCCGTTTTTATTTAACTCGTTTTAAGTCCAATCCCGAGCAGAGAAGTGTTTTAAAGTATGAAGACAACTGTGGCTTCAATATTTATTTTTATTAATCTCTTCTCATCTATTCTAATGTTATAAAAGTGAGGTTTGTTTGATAGCGCTACTCTCCGTTGAGGTGTGGAGCGTAGGATTATTAAATAAGGAGACGTCTGTATCAAAAAAGTAAAGGCCCGTTTATTACTAATCACTTATAATTAACTTACATATGTATTATAATAATCAACATCACTACAATTCTGATTCGAGTTCGCCGTCGGACAAGAACCAGACCCAATTTTGACGTTCCAAAAGTACCTATTTATGGTTTAGTTGGATTTTGACTTTGACCGATCGTAAGTCCAAGTCATAGGATTTATTTGCTCTTGAATACATTAAAGGTCTTGAAAACATCAATAAGTTCGGTATTCGGTCATAAGCTAATGACATGAAAATGTTTGATAACAAGTTTGTTTTATCTTATTCATTACCAACATTATTTTGGAAACTTATATTGTAAAAAATCTTTTATAGAATAAAAAGGATTGTCAATTAGCCATATACGTGATACCTCTTGAATCGAGTTATTGGCAACTCTCGAAGTTGGAGAGGAAGTTTATTATAATTTTGGATACACATGAAGAAGCAACTACGTTTGTATAGCTCAGTTTTCATACTAGGAAGACTTCATTTAGTAAGGAGCGTAGCGTTCCTCCTGAGCCTAAAGACGAAGTTCGAGTACAATAATGGAGAACACAGGTGGTTTTAGTCAGTAAGAGTCTGAAACTCCCTCTCGACCCACCCAGAGTGTAAAATACTTTTGAGGATTTTTTCGTCACGTTGCGTAGAACCTCAGCAGTAACTGCACTAACTGAGCAATTCAAACGGCAAATCTTAAGTTAATAGCGACTAAGTAAGGCACTAATTAGGAGATTCGTATAAATTTTGAATCTAGTTAGTGCTCTTAGCTTCTAATTGAGCTTCAAATTAAGGTCAACGCGTATGGGTGACATGGAACTTTGTTTCTTGCATTCCTAACGACAATTGTAGTCGAACTCCGAAGTTGGCAGACATAGTTCTTACTAGTTGCTCAATGTTCTGATCTAATCATGGTCACAGGAATTTCTGCTGCATACGTACTGTTTGTGGATTTGTTGAATGTTCGTGAATTATTGATTGATTTTGTTGTTGAATTTCACTGGCTTTTGTTTTTATGTGTTTTGTGTGTAACAAGTGTTCGTGTGTTTCATGTCTTTTTAATTAGTGCTATCTCTAAATTTTACACGTATTTTATTTTTGAAAGATGTTCACAATGTTTATTTACCCAGTAATGTTATAAATTGGTTTTTCTATATGAAAGGATGGGCTACGAGCGTACGCATTACCACCCGCAACAATGGAGGAGTTACGCGTTCGTTGCTGACCTTTTGGAGATAAGGGTTTGGGAGATTTACCCAACTGTAACTTCAGTCACACGGCGAAACAAAATGTTGTGGTTGTTTCATGGTGGTATTCCCTACCTATTCGTGTCGAAGCATAACTGTCCCACACTGATGATTGCTTTAATATACATCAGTATCTTATTAATTACACCTAATGATGCGCAGTAGTCGAAGAGCTAATCCTTAGCTTCCTTTGTCTGCTTATAAAAAAAAACTCCTAGAAACTGACAGAAGCGGTGAAAACTAAAAGAGTAAAGTCAACTTTATGACTACGCATTAAGTTCCACCAACCAGATTTCGTGCGATTCTTCGATAGGTGTTCAAAAAAGTCCATTTTAACGGTTCAGAACTCCTTGTATACAAATCATACTTACTTGAAATGATTGAAGTCAAGAGTTGTGATGTTTCCACTGCACAATGGAAGACAGGACTCCGGGAGACCTTTTGACCGGCAGCACGGAGTATGGTCCATCCCATTAGCCAGGCAGCCGAAGGTCACACCAGCCCAGGGTGCGCAGATCATCAGGTCTGTGACCTGCAGCTAAGAGTTAAACACGGCTCTCGTGGGTGATAGTGCGTTAGTCACAAATGAAGTGTAAGTGGGACGGTGATTATGAAGTGGGGATTAATTTCTGACTTTCGATGGTAATTTGTAATGGTTGGAGTGTTGCTTTATGGTACTTTTTGATGATGCAATGTTTGATTTAGTTTTCCTAAAATTGAAGCGTTTTTTAGAAGTGCTGAATGCTATTAAATTTTTACTGTTTCTTTTTATTCAATTTTAAAGCGTAATTTTTCCAAAACCTTCTCAAAGAAATGTGTAATGATTTCGTAAACTTGATGATTTCCAACTTCCAACACTTAGATGTTCGATGACCCCAACTTACTGCAATTTCGAAGGTCTTGGTGGGGTCACAAAGTTTGTCGACACATCCGTAGTGATTGACCCCCGCAGCGACGCAGCATCCACGAACATCTGGCAACTTGGGAGCTGCTGCTACATCCGTCGACTTCATCTTCCCAGGAGTCAGGGTTAAAGACCTGGATGCAAGGGTTTGAGTAGAGAATAGTGGGTTTGTTTCAACTGAGCAATAAAAGAAAGCAATACGAATTCTATTTTTGTTAACTGGTGGAGCCTCCTTTTAGGCAGATAATGCCTGTCATGAAATTAAACAGTTTATTCTATCTTTATTTCTATAATAACAAAGTTGATTTTTCTGATATCGTTCCTTCTCTTGCCCGGAGCAGAAGACGGAACGGCGTCGTTTTTAGTCAATAAGAGTCTGAAACTCCCTAGGGCGGGAGAGGTCATTTGATACTTTCTCCCCCTCAAAGGAAAGTTAAGTCAATTACTAGCGTAAATTGTGGTTTACAATACTTATGAAATAATATAATATTATTTAAAATATGTAATTACAATACTTTGATTAAATGGCTTTCATTCGTTTCAGATTTAATCGGAATTTGTTTTTGATTCTAGCAAGTTCCAATGTTCATAGGTATATTATTAAAGTTGGTGCTATTTAATAATACGAAAGTATTATATTATTATCCGTACCTATAATAGGATTCCAACGAAAGGTTAATTAATTAATAAAAATAATTATAATGTAAGCGAAACAAAGGAAGCGAGGTACCAACATGTATTTTGTTAATTTCAGGGGGAAATATATGTGTCATAAAATAGATTTTAAACGGGATTTACTTTAAAATATGAATTAAAATCTATCAATAAGGTTACGTTGACTATTTGTCGTACATTGCGTGCGCTGTAAGCGTCATTATCTGCGCAAACATCAACGCATTAGCAATGTACAACGAACCGCACCACGCGGTCTCGTCAAAGAGCCCTAATAGTCCATAAGAGAAATGTATCTAAAACAAAAGTACGGTACTGAAAGACTTTTACTTTCTATTAGCTCCGTAAGTCAAATAGCTTCACTAGAGGACAGATGGACAGACACGCATAAATTTAATCCTATTGAAATATATTTTCTATTTTTCTTTGTTTTTGCGTGACGTTTAAAAGTGCCCACTGTGGCCTAATTGAAATAAATGATGTTTCACTTTTGACTTTGACTTTGAAGTAACTGTGCAAAAAACAAAAAAAAAAAAAACAAAAACAAACCAATTATTAATTTACCTGATGGCATAACTAGGTAAGCTGGACCCATGGATATTGTATGACGTCACAGTGATCTCATACATCGTAAATGGAAGCAGATCGTTGACGACAAAGTATGTTTTATTCGGAGGTACTTTATACGTCATTGGAAGAACAGTCTTCATAGTATCATTGTTCTTGATAGAACTCTCTGATGGGTCTATTAAGTGGGCATCAAAGGATCTCAGTGTTGTCACATTTACAACATATTCTATGACCGAATCCGTATTTTCTACTGGCGGACTCCATGATACGTTTAGTTGTTTTTCATTTAACGGTTCCACTTCTACGTCTTCTGGCGGACTTGGAAGGAGTTCTGTGGAGAAAAGAAGAGTTAGTAAGAGTGTACTGTCGACCGTGGAGGGATTCCTTTATGGTTTTTTTTGAAGAACCTTTAGTTAGTTATATTATCGATAATTCTTTACTGGCTTTCGCAAGGGGGTTCACCCGCGTGACATGTTGATAAAAAACAGCCTACCTATGTGTTAATTCAGATTGTCACCTATCCACATACCAAATTTCAACTGCATGAGTGCAGCCGTTTTTGTGTTAAAGAAAAACAAACATACATCCATATATTGTCACAATTTTTATCATTTATAATATTGGTTAGGATTTAGGCTTTAGGATTTGTTCGAAATTACAGCCTTTTCAGTTCAAATTAGTTTTTAAATTGAATTGAACTTCAGAATAAATCTTACCAATTCCTTCAACGATGCAGGCCAAGGTTTTCTCCATGTACGAGGCACATGAGTAATGTGTTTTAATGTTGTCTGTGACAGGAGTGAACTCCCCGCGGCAGACATCTTGGCAAATGTCTGGCACTCTTTCTTGGACACAGCATGGTACATGGTTGCGACCATCTGCCATACACCTGGTGGAATTAAAAAAGAAATATGAATTGAAATTTATTTGTGAAAAAGAAAAATTGATAAAAATAATGAGTGAGCTTTACAATTATAAATGAGTAAAATTTAAAATAAAACATTCATTTATCATTTCTGTAACTATTTTATGATATGGTTTTTTTATGACCAGCTAAACTTGTTCCTTTTTTAATTAAAACATTTTTATCGCTTGGCAACATTGTCAGTGATTTTTCTCTATTTTTTTATATAAAAAAACGTTGCCCCGTTTTAACATTTTAAGCTAAAACATATAATATCACAGACACGTGACACCTAGACCCCGAAACAAACAATTTGTGGATCACACAAAGAGTTGTTCCATGCGAAAATCGAACTCGTGACACGTTGCACGCCAACCTAGCAGTCTGCAGTTTTAAAGAGGGATAATTTATATTTTTTATCGAATAACGGTTTACCTAAACCGTACTTTTGAGCTATTCGCTTGGCCCGATATTCACTTGTTTGTTACTATTCAAACAGACAAGAAGAATATACTAAAAATACACATCTTATATTGATCAACACTTCAAGGCACAACGATTAATCGTAGACTAAATATATCCTCAAATAGAAATCCATCAATGCTCAGTCTCCGACGTTCAAGCAAGGATATCTCTTATTGAAATGTAATTTAGCGTATTTTCCGTTTCCTTAGCAGACAGAAAAGTCAAAGTTTATTAGAAACCTTATAAACTGGCTAGCTTTTGCCTGCGACTTCGTTCGCGTGGAATAGTGACTTCCTGTAGATTTTTGGTATAAAATCTATCCTATGTCCTTTCTCGAGTTCCAAACCATGTCTGTATCAAATTTCACACAAATAGGTTCAGTAGTTTAGGCGTGAAGAAAAGACAGACAGACAAACAGACAGAGTTACTTTCGCATTTATAATATTAGCTTGGATGTTGCTCTTGATAAATGACTGTTATAAAATATATATAGTTTGTAACAATAGTGGGTACAATTTATCTAAATAAATGCAGGGTGATTGATTACCTATTTACCGGACACTGGGGAAAGATTTCAGTGATTTTGTTTCGACGAATCTGTGTCTGTAAGCTTTACAGACACAGATTGGTGATTCGGGCATGGTGGGTCGATTTTTATAAATAGGAATTATAATTTAAAATTGTTTGACTGAAAACTTCATCATAAAAAGGTTTTCATTATGTACAAAATTAAATAATCGAATTAACATTATGTTGATATGATTAAAAATAATTCATTAAAATATAGTTTGTTCTATGAATATTTCGAAATCACACGAAATTCCATCGTCGGGGTCGAAATAGAATTTCTGTGAAAGAAAAATAACTTACTTGACAATAGCAGGAAAGTCTGGCTGGCAGGTCTCAGGATCCTGGCCCGTTCCTTCTAGAATAGTCTGTATGCTGCAGAAACCGAGGCAGGTCTTCGTGACGTTGGCAGCGACGCAGCAGTCTGTGTAGTTGTGTGAAAGTGCCAGGGAGGATAGGGTGGGGATATTTGCTGAGTAACTGTCTGTGACGTTCTGGTTCTCTGGCGGAGTCAGTCCTCTTGATATTACTAGAAGAGAATGGATTTGTCAGCGTAATGTGTGACTAGGAGATATTGTCTCTAAAGGTTCAGAGGTTGTTTAAAGACGATTTTTCTATAGATTAAGTTGGAACTTAGCCACGTTAAGTTAAGTGTGGGAGAACCATGCTTCGGGTGTGGGTCGGCTCGACCGGAGTGATACCACGGCCTCACAGAAGACCCGTGAAACAACCACACGTTGCGTTTTGCCGTGTGAGTGAGGTTACCGGAGGCCCAATCCTTCCCCGCCCCCAATCCCTCCTCAATCCGTAAATCTCTAAATCCCTAATCCCTAAAAGGTCGGCAACGCACTCGTAAATCCTCCGTTGCGGGTGTCCATGGGCGGCGCTGATTGCTTACCATCAGGTAATCCGTCTGCTCGATTGCCGACCAATTACATAAAAAAAAGTGTAATTTGGGTTGCTTTCTTTTTTTAATAGAATTGAGTTTTTCAATAATAACAATTTACCAACTCTTTATGCCTTACTAAAACTTTACTTACCTTAAACACGTAAAGTTTTAATAAAAAACAGACTACACCACTGATAATTACTAAAAAATTTCTAGTTCATATGATTTCGTATCAAATTGTATAAGGTTTCGTATATGATACTTTCTAATCTCATACTAAATTTTCTTGCTGAACTTTTACCAAAAAAATACGAACCTGTTAACTTGTGGAAGCTCCTGACAGGTGGCTCTGTGTTCAGCTCACACATATACAGGCCAGCGTCTGATGCCTTCACAGATTTGATGACCAGCGCCCACACATCACCACCCTTCGCGATACCAGGGCCTGGGAGAGGCTCGTCGGCTGAAAATGTCCAGTTTATTAGTACTTACGGACACAAGTCAGACGAACACGAGACACATTGCATGGTAGGTTTTGCGCAACCACCGTATCAGAAGTGCAGTCACAATATTTATTGTCAAACACTTATGCGATTAAAGGCTTGACGATATCTTAAGCCTAATGTTGAGTTAACACTTTACTGTTGCTTACAAAAACACATGAATGTAAATTCTTCTATTAACGTAGGTTTTTTTGTGGGCGGAAAATCATCAAATGACTTCTATCGTCAAGGGAGTGACAAGCTCTTACTGACTAAAAACCACACCGTTCTCTCTCCGTTTATTATTAATTGAATTCAGTTAATACGCAACTTTGAAAAATCCCTATTTCTTGCCTAATACTACATTAGGCAAGAAATAGGGTTTAAATTTAAACTAAGACCTTTATAACAGGAGACAAAAATTATTATGGTAATTTTATGACCTAAGTTTAGACTACATAGAACATAGTAAAGACATATTTTTCTTAGATCAAAATGCGTCAAGCACATTCCTTTTCATATTTTTAAATGATTTACATCAATGGTGTGCTAGTACTTTATCGAATAAATAAATGAAAATAAAAAAATATTTTGAGGAGTTCGATCTGCATCTTAATAAAAGAAGTTCGATATTAAAAGAGATCTAAGTAGCCGTCTTCTGTTTCTATCAGAACCTATTATAATTGCAGATTTAGCGAGCTTCGTAACACGTAAATAATGTATTTGGTGCAAGGTCGAGTCCCGGCTTACGTACGAATTGTTTTCCAACTGAAACCTTAGGAAAATGCTTTTTGATTTAATTTTTTTGCACGTGTAATTGTTTTTTGATTGAGTTTAGGGTGGGTTTTAGGTAATTTTTTTTTTAATTTTGCTCTTTGGTAGCATGTTCAATATTCTACTAACAAAGTTTTAAACTGAAACTTTATTTTTTTTTAAACTTTAAGAATGTTTTTTTTTTGTTTATGGATTATTTAATTCACAATAATAATTTTTTAAAGTAAATTCTAACGTTTCTTAAGGGTATAATAGTAGCTGGGGTTGCGAATGCAAGCAAAATCCTTGCAAAGCGGTTCTCCTACCGGAGAAAGAACGGTGTGGTTGTAAGTCAGTAAGAGTCTGACACTCGCTTTAGCTACCTAGCTTCACTGAAGAACAGATTGACAGACTACTACTATTATATATTGACGTTTAAACGATATCTATTTATGGTTTATTTGGAATAAATGATTGAGACTTTGACTTCGCTCCTCCTGGGTCCAGAAGTTATTTGCCGATACTATTGCCATAAAGTCAGAAAAAAAAGCAATAATACTCACAGTCATCATGTAGAACATCAACTCTGTCATCTCTGGTTACCCTCACTCCTCCTGCAGTCAGAAGCTGAAGGTCTTTCGCCCTCCTCCACAGCACCGGCCGACCTTTAGCTCCTAGCACCACACAGGTGAGGAGCGCATCCTCCCCACTCCTCACAGCTACACCTCCTACCGCTGGAGTCCTCATGTAGGCCTTTGGTTCTTCTGGTTGTTCCTCTTGAGAACTTCCCGTTGAGACACTCGCACTCTCCACTGATCCATCTTTGACTAATTCTGTGGACAAAGAGAGGTGTATATTAGAATATATTAACAGATCGGTATAAAGCTGGTGACTATGTGATTTTTTTTTGTAATAGATCGGCAAACAAGTATACGGATTACCTGATGGTAAGTAATTAGCGCCGCCCATGGACAATCGCAACGGAGGAGTTACGAGTGCGTTGCCGACCTTTTAGGGATTAGGAATTTGTAGATTTAGGGTTTGAGGAGGGATTGAGGGTGGGGAAGGATTGGGCCTCCGGTAACCTCACTCACACGGCGAAACACAACGCTGAGGTTTAACGTTGTGGTGACTCGGAGGTTAAGTCGTCCGCTTCTCATGCATGAGGTTGCGGGTTCGTAACCGAGCAAGTACCAATGTGACTTTTGTCGTAGACTATGTTTGTTCTTTCTATAATTATTTAGATACCACTGACATGCGGTAAAGGAAAACATCGTAATAAAACGTGGCCTTGACTAACTGCAAGAAAATGTCTATTGCTGAAAAAAAAGACTTCATTTTCGGAAAGTCTCTTGTCTAAAATAGAAAGTTCGTAGATATTTAATATTCATATTATCGGCCTATATGTCCCAAGTAATGTACAATAAAATCGGTTCAATAGTTGTCATAACATTATTAATTTGAACGTTTGAAAGCCTTTAAAAAAATCTATATAATTTTTACTCAAAGTTTATGTCATCTTTACTACATCTAACAATTGTCAAACAAACTAATATTTTCCCATGAATAAACAAAAAAAAAAAAATTCATATCAAATAAAAACAAAACAAACGAAAACCAACTCTATACTCATAAACAAAGATATCAAAACTTAAAGATGAACATTTCTCCTAACAACGAAGCAAACCATCCCTAGGTAGAAAACCACAATTAAAATTGAATGCAAAACAACTTAAAGTCAAAGAGCAAACGAAATCACTTTCTATTCTAAGTATCGATACACTGTCACACTTCAAAAGACCTTTTGAAGGATTTAAAAGGCCATTTGGACCTTCCCGTTTCACCTCTAAAAAGGTCATCTACTTCAGTTGGTCCGGGAATATAAATGTTCTCAAAACTTTTGTGGTCGGGTCCCAGTGTAGACGGTTTGTAGTAAATCTTCTTTTTTCGATTTTCAACTGTATTATTAACGAGTGTAAAGTTGAAAATCTGTTTTGGAGAATTTTGGCTGATTTGTACAAGTTTTGCTATTGTTGTGCTCGTGTGTGTGTGTGTGTGTGTGTGTGTGTGTGTTTGTTTGTAGGTTTTGTCATATTTGATAATGAAGAGATTCTTATGTATGTTTTGTTAGGCATTATAATAATCGTTTGTTGTTTTTCAAAGGTGAATATAGATTTTAACAACAGATACGTATTTGTTATTTAAAATCAGTTTTACTCAAAAATAATTAGATTTATATATGAACTTTCTTTTAATTTATATATGAAAATTATTAAGGTCTGATTTTCTCAATAGTCATATAACTAAATGTTATCTGAGGAATCGAATTGTTGCTGTCACTGTCTTATACAAACATTCTGATGCGACAGCATCATAATTATTCCCTAGGTAACTTTTAGCTTAACCATTGAAAAATAAGCCTTAAATTGTATGACTATTTATGAAGTTCATTTGTGCAAGATTATAAAACTTATTTCATTAATATTATTACAAATTTATAAAAAAATGCAAACATGAAATGTAAGAACTATTATGTAGAGATTCAGAAACTATATATGTTGACTAGGCAAAGTTAAACATAAAGCAATAAATCACTACTTTCACCTTAATGCCCTGGAAATACAACACAATTTTCCATTACTTATAACACGACCCTGAGACGCAGTATAAAATTCAGTAAATATTAAAAATAACAAGCGAATGTATGCCTTCGTGTTATTGGAATAAATTATACATTGCCTTTATCGCTCGCATTAATATATTTTGTAAGCATATATGTACTTTCTTATATTCCTTTATCGAAAGCTATACGAACAATAGGTTCCTTTTAACTAATTTATTTTTAGCAGGATGTTGCTTCTAAATGTTAAGTTTTTATTATACACTAGCGATCCGGTCCGGCTTCGCACGGTTTTAATGCTGATACTATTTATTTCTCTATAATAGGTGTTATTACACAAACAAATCTAGTTCTTAAATCAGTCTATCTAAAGATTTAAGCATCATATTATGCATAATAGGTGAAATTGCCGTTTTGCATGAAAAAATTTAAACGAATTTTTTGATTTGAAATGCGATTAAAATGTAACACTAATCAATAAACAAATGACTACTTTTGGAAAAAGAATCCCATGTTTTTAAAACAAAATTAATTAGCCTTAGCCTAACAAAAACTATTTTGATTTGAAATGGCCAGTACTGCGGAACAGCAATTTCATAGGTAAAGACCTATGATTACAAAGTGATATAAGGACTGAAAAAGCGATAAAAAGAGCTACATTGTGATACATTTAAGTATGGGAGATCTATGCTTCGTCACGCCTATCAGAAACCGGTGTAAAATAATCAAAGCATTGTATTTCGCCATGAGAGTGATCATCGGAGGCCTAATCCCCCTTATCTTCAATTCCTTATCCCCATCAGGTCGCCAACGCCCTTACAACCCGTCTCTGGCGATGGTAGTGTCTATGGACAGCACCAATTGCCTAACATCAGGTCTAAAACAGTCTGTTAGCCTGCCCCGATGAATAAACTCCCGACTTGTTTAAAAGATCAATTTTGAAACATGGTGACAATACTCAAGGCGTAAAAAAGCTTTGATTCGGCGCTAATTGACCAGCTCGATTTGCCAGCACGTCCAACCAGAAAAGCGGTGAGTAACGACACTCGCGATGTGGGAATTAAGTTACTGGGTGTCCAAATCCTCCCCATTTCCAATCCTAACCTGCCCAGAAATGTACTTGAAACTCATCTTATGTTGCGGATACCACCATGTCCATAGAACAAAATCTATAAAATAAATTGTCAACGATTGTTGATCTACTGTCTCATCCACTACGACCACGCCTCCCGTCTCATTAGGATTCATCGCACCCCAGTCACGTAGGTTCACGGTACCAGATAAAGAAATCAACGCAAATTGGCCGTACACACGCTCCAATTTACCACATATTTCATAGTAACAAAACAATCTCTATGATAACTAACCCCGAGTGGATTTAGAAAAATTGCACAGAAAAGTACACTTTTATGGACACTTCAGGTGAATGAGGTTGAAATTCAGAATAAAAAAGGCTGTGAAGTGAAGTGGGTTATGATGAGGTGAGGTTTTATATATTTATGACAAGTTTTAGTAAGGCTTTTTTTGTCAGGGGAAATCATCAAAAGACTTCTCCCGCCCAGGACCGGGCGGGTGGGAGTGTCAGACTCTTACTGACTAAAAACCCCCCTGTTCGTTCTCCTGCTCTGGGCCAAGGTCTCGGTGCCTCATTGCGCTGACCCCGCAACCCCGGCTGAACATCAGCCTTATACGGCCCCGTCTGTGGTGGTCGTCAGAACGTTACGCGCCGTACGCTCGGGCCTGGTTCTGGTCATTTTTTTGTTCTGGCGTAGGTCATGGACACTTCCGACACTAGACTTGGTGTTGCTGGCATTTTAAAGATGGAAGCATTCAGAATTAAGGATTAGAATATTGTGGATTAGGTATCGGGCTAGGTTATTGAGAGTTGGAGATTGGAGTTTGTGGATTTGGTATTGGAGATGGGGGTTGCGAAGTATGTCTGATTCATATTTAAGCACGTAATATAACTTTACAAGTGTTGGAATATACTTGAACCCGTTACTTTATTGATTTGGTGATTAATGTTCAATCCTTCTCCGTATGAGAAGAGGCTTTCTATGTTCAGCAGTAACTTATAGGCTGATGATGATCTAAGAATATTTGTAACCAGTTTACTAAGCGATCAATAAAATGAGCAATGAAATGAAAAATCTCAGAGCAATAAAGTTTCAGCAGTTTTTAATTTATGTAAATGGAAAGAAGAATGGAAGCTTACTGAAGTTTCAGCTTACATTTCCAATTACTTGATCTATATGCCGTGCTATGAATTATTCAGTTGCTAAATCTTTTCAGTATAATCAGATAATTGTCTCGTTACGCGTGGTGTTTAGTGTGAGGTCCAAGGTTGGCTTTTGGGGTCGGGATTAAAGTAATCATGAATCAAGACTGAAAAGCTATGGTGTTTTTTTATAGTGTGAGTCGACAAACAAGTGGTCTGCTTACCTGATAGTAAGCATTCGACGTCAACCATGAATATTGGTAACAAAAATAAATTACAATACCGATGCCTATCTTTTGGGTTTTGGGTCGATGTAGGTAGGTTTCAGAAATGGGGGATTGGGGGATTTGGTGATTTGGGGTTCGGAGAATTTGGGGATTGGAGATTTGGGGATTATGGATGAAATCGGTAAACTCAGTCATACAGCGAAATATGTGGCAACATCGCACTCACTCACACATCGCACATTAATAGATTCATGCCGCGAAAAATTGTAGCGTGTATTACAGACAGAAAAAGCCTTTGCCTTACCTAGCAATCGAACCTGAGATACCTTAATAGGAGGCACTTTTGTAAAAATAATAAAGATAGCTAATATTAATATATCTGTCTTATTCCAGTCCAACAACCAAAGGTACCAGTCACAATATAACAGTTTCCAACCTTTTGACTATACTAAGTACATTATAAAGTGGTCTTAAGTTAAGCCTAAGAGCCCCTAAGTAAGATATGGTCACCAAGTTCGCCACAAAGAGCGGATAATCCGTACCCGGTTACTTAGACCATTGGCATTTTAGACCCTATGTTTTTGGAAGATACATTTTCCTAGAAGTTAAGTAGGGATAGTACTACTTTAAGTGCGGGAGAGCTAAGCTTCGGCACGAATTGGTCAGCTCGACCGGAGTGATACCACGGCCTCACAGAATACCGGCGTGAAACAACCCACATTGTTGTGTTTCGCCATGTGAGTGTGGTTACCGGAGGCCCAATCCCTT